TTATGTATAAGTAGGTGTGTGTGAATGTTGTGAGGTTTAAATATGTCAAATATTTTATCAAAATTGCTAACAGTATATAGTACATCAATATTACATATGGGATGGACATCTAAGGTGGTTTTACTATGGTGGATGTATTTTTATCTGTTTAATATAACTTTTATATTTTTGTTAATAAATTGTACAGGATAATTATTACTAATCGAGAAGTCTTTTACCTTTGCAATCTTCGCTCTGTGATGTCTCTTGCTAGCAAGTAAAATCGCTCTATCTATCAAATTAACTAGAATATTTCTTTTTTTAATATTTGGTTCATCTAAAAAATAATTTAAAATACATTTTGCAGAAGTAGGTTTTTCAATGCAGTCAAAAGGAAAATGTTCCAAGTTTCTGATTATAATCATGTCTAAGAAATTAAGTTTATCGTTAATTTTAATTTTTTGCGGTATAATATGATCTTTATTAATAAAAAGTGTAATATCATCGACGTAACGAAAATAAAAGGCAAGGTTGATATTATGATTCTTGTTTAAATAAGATAGTCATTCATGTTCTAAGTGATCCACTACAAGATTAGCGAACAGCGGTGAAATTGAGGATCCCATTTGTGAGCTAAAAATTAACTGGAAACATTTATTGCTAAACATAAAATAAGTGTTATTAAGGTTGTTCTATGGATATCTTGAAAGTATTAAGAAATTGATGAAATTTTTCTGCCGAGATTAAAACGCATAATACGTGATTTTATCAAGTTTAGGAAAGATTCTGTCGCTAGAAATCAATTGATGGATTCTGAAAGTTGTCCAAAAACTGCTACGGTCCCATTAGAGCCCATGTGTTATAAGGCTAACTATATACGTTAATAATTTTATTTGTAGTGACAAAATCTTTTATAAACTTGGCATAGTTACTGATGATATGTTTTAGTGTCAACAAATTAATTTTCATCGAGATCCTATATTTTTTTAATGTCCACAAGAATAACTCTACGAATACCATATATACGCATATATGCTGATTTTATTAGGTAAAAAAAATGTATATGAGGACAAAATCGTACTTAGGCGGATGGTCAGTATAACTTTTCAATGTTATTGGTATGTATTCTAAAAGCACGTGGAGTCTGCATAAGTCACCTTGAATAAAGATATATATATATATATATATATATATATATATATANATATATATCTTCCTATATTATACAGTGATTTTGGAGGGTCATTTTATACAACCTTCCCTCCACTCCTCGGTCTTCCGTTAGTCTCCCTCTGAATAAGGTGAAATTCTAACAGTTTTTACATAATTTTTATTGGGTTAAATTATTGGTAAGCCCCCATCACCCTCCTCAACCCCCCCCTCAGCCCCTCCGCTCGATTTTGATAAGCCCTCGCCTCAGGTTGAATTTTTGTTTACATAAACTGTGCAATATTATTTCGGACAATTTCATACTCTTGCTAATGTAAAGAAATTAAATTTTATTTTGTCTACTTAAGATAAGTTAACCTCAGAAATTTATTTCCAAACAATATTTTCTATTTCTAAATTATTATCACGTTATGTTTAAATATAAATTCCATTTTCATTTTTGCATCTTGATAACGTGATGTATAATTGACCATGCGAAAACAGTGATTTTTTTTAATATAATCCAATTTTATTAAAACTTTGACCTTGAGATTTATTGTTAGTCATTAAAAACGCTAAGACGAAAAGAAATTGTTTTCTGCACAAAATAAAAGGTAATGATGACGAATTTTCTGTATTGATAGTTACATTTAGTATAAAAACTCTCTTTCTAATTTTATCTTTAGTTATAGTTTTTGCTTCAATATTGTATTTAAGTAATTTTGTACCGTTACATTCGCCGTCAACTATACTTAAATTACGTATCAACATAACAATTGCTCCAATTTTCAAATCATGGTTATGCGGTGGTTAGCTTTCATGAATATTCTTTAAAAATTAAAATTGGAAAATTTGTATAAATATCATTATCAGATTTATCAATACTTGTAAGTAACATAATCTATGCTGTGATATGTTTTCATTTCTCCTTTTACGTGGTTTAGAATTTTATTACTAAAAATCATGCATATTCGTTATGAGACGTAAGTATAACACTAATTATTGAAAAGTTAATATCTTTACCAAAAATATCGGAACAAACATAAGTTGTTTTTATTTATTTGGTACTTGAAATGATTCAATTTTTCCTCCAATATCTAATAGTAATTTTGAAAATATCTTGTCAATTGAACGAAAATAGATGATATTAAGTTTGAGAATACGAAACAATGATCAAAGACATAATGATTCATTTATTTCTTGTATAATCATGCTTCTATTACTTTTTTTTTAAACTGGGAGAATCTGTCTGAAATCGCCTTTTAAAACAATTGATTTATTTTCTTTTTTTTATGATTCAAATTCTAAGAGCGCACTTTCTACATTGTTTCAGTCCAATGGTTAACAAAGTGTTCTATGACTGGTCATTCCTTTTGGAATTAATATTCATTCTATACCAGTCCATGCCATTGATAAAAATTTTTTTTTCACGAAAAATAAAATGATAAGCTAACGTTTTATATAGAAATGTTTTTCTTAAACCTCCTGGGCCATCAATATAAAAAATTTCATCTGTTTGTTCACATATAATTTTGATAATCGTGATTTACGATCAGAGAGATTTATTACGGCCAGAGAGTATAACCACGATTTTTTCATTTTTATTACTTCTTTGAATATTTTTATTTGTACTTGATATTAGGCCTTATTAAAATTCTATATTAGGATGTTAAAGTGAAGTAAAAAGAACCTATTAGACCTTTTTTTCTGGAAACACTATATAGTCAATAAAATGATTAAAATTATTTCTCAAATTTTATCTCCTTAGATATTTTCCGCGATTAGAAGCGAGGCAAAAAATTGTCTTACAAGTTTCTGAAAAGGTATTTATTTGATTTACACTACTTCTGTTTTGACTTTAAAAATACTTAACAAAGATTTTTTTATTTTTTTAACTTTAAAAACCAAATTTAAAAAATGAAGTATTTAAGTGATTCAAAAATTTAAGGGTTGGTGCGTAGAGCCCCACTAGTGTGTGTGTGTGTGTGTCGGAAGATGGCTGGGTGAGTCGGTAAGTATGCGTGTGTGTTGATATATACAAATCAACCTGAAATTAAAATTCTGTGCAGTATCGTATTTTGTCCATAGGTACTTCACATTTATTTATTATGCTCAATGCCCACTGGTCGATGTCTTTAATACTAATATTAAAGGGATATAAGTGAACAGAGAGCTAAGGTCTAAAGAAATTAATATTTGATGGTGGAGAAGTTGATCATTTAATTTTTTTTTTTTTTCAATTTAAAACTATTGTTGGTGTGTGATTTTGGTGCATTAGCTGAGTTTTTGCGTTTGTTATTAATTGTTTCGGCCAAAAAATGTGTAGGATTGTTGACTAGAGATACGATAGGATGCTCAAAGGCATCTACTTTCTGTATCTTAGGCAGATCATAACATTAGGCTAGAGTAGTATCTGTGAGAGACAAAGTATTGAGATTGTAAGTTGTAGAAAGGAAACCGTCATTATCTACCTTGTTCAAAGTAGACGAGGTTCTTTTTTGTAGAGAAATAAGAGGATTTAAAAAATAAAAATTAATTTGGTAGGTCGATGTGTTGACAACAATTGGTGCATTTTAGCGGAATAACCACTCCGATTTACAGTTACATTATCCTTAACAGTAGAAATGAAGAAAATATTTAGATTTTTAAGTTAAAAAAGTTTTTGTAATTTTTAATTTCTCTGCATATTCACAGTCTTTAAATTTTAAAAAAGTCTTTACCAAAACAAACTACTTTGCATTTAACTTAATTGAGAAGATGCTGGGAGACTTTTTTGCCAATTCCCGTTTTTTCTTGTTTATTAGTATCGAGATGTAAGAGACGGACTTCAAGCTTTTTTACGATACATAATAAATCACGTTCCTGGAAACACAAGGGTACATCAGTTTTTGGTCTGAGAATTACGATTTCTGAGACTTTTTTTAGGGATGACTAGATTAGTTGGATTATGTATCGAATTGTTGTTGCTCGCTATCGTGTTATTAGAGGGTAGAATTTTTAAAAAATTTTTATGAAAAGTAGAATTTAACCTTTTGTAGACAAAGTTTTGTTTTATGAACTTTATCTTACCTGAGGCAATTGTAACGAATTGTAAATTGTATTATATATTGTATCGTTGTGCGTATGTAAACATATTAAAACCTCTTTTAGTCTAATGAATCTAACACGAATGATAAAATAAATATTTCCGTAATGTCAATTATAATACAACAGTTTAAACTTTGCACAATTGTTTCTCACACTTCATTCTCTTTACACCTCAAATTTTGTTGTCCTGTGTGATTTCAATCCCTTTTTTTAATCAAAAATTCAAGGCTGTCCCATAAGAGTACGTGTTAACCATTGCATTTTCATTGTCACATTTCTCAATAATTAGTATTATAACGTATGTTAAAAAAAACGTGTGTATTCTATGCGCTCTTAATATTTATATACTTGATTTTTATCGACTTCTGTTATTATTTTCAATAAGTACGCAACGTCCTTAAATGATTGAGTGTGAGCTGAATGTTTTATTTTCTTTCACAATTAAATAATTATGTTTCAAGAATTTTGTATTTAACCAGTAGTTTTCAGTGAATTTAATGTAAGTTCACACTGACTCGAAGAATTATAAAACAATATGTGACATGCAATGATTTACTGAATGATAGTTAACTAAATATTTTTAAAAACTTTTTATGCAGTTTTTTCATACATCAATGTGTTCTTTGGAAATGAAATTTCATTTTGAAGTATGCACTATAGATCTTAAATATGTGCGATGGTCAGTTAAGAATTAGTATATATGTATCTATTAAAGTAAATTGACGTTTTAATGTTCTGAAGCTTTGAGTTTTTCAAACTATTTTGTAATATTTTCTCAATTGCAGACTCGTGGAATTCTGTAGATGCAGCAGAAGAGTGGGATAATGAAGAATACACGGGTTCATTAGCAGATACAAAAGTTTTTACGCCAAGTACTATAAATAATGAATCCATAGCTGTTTCTGAGAAACACGAAGGCGAAGAAATTTTTTCTACAAAACCTTTGCAATCAACGATTATAATCAGTAACGTAAGTTGTAGTATTGAATATTTTGACGCATTTATCTATACATTCAATTTTATTCATTTAGTATAAATCAATGTACATAAAAAATTTCATACACATTATTATATCGTCATATTTTCTTTAACAACTGAAAATTTAACTTTACGGAATAGTATCTCTACATGAGGATTAAAAACTTTAAAAAAAGGCGAAGTATATCAACACTATGAGACTTTGCAATTTTGAAGTTACACTGATTATAAATCTAAACTAAGGCCTGTTCACTATAATACCTGTGGAAAGACGTTTTTTTTCTCTGATTTCAAAGCCAAAAGCTTCAATTTTCTTTCGGGTAAAAACCATGTCCAAGAACATAACGCCGATACGCTTTGTAGTAAGCATAAAATGCGAGTTTCATCTAGGAGGTTATTTGGCGCTCTTGACTTTAAAACCCTAGAAAAAACATCAAATTTCGACATAAAAAAAGTAAAAAAAGTACATACGCTACACAGGATAAAAGTACTGTACCGACTCCTGGGTATTTTCCGTTCTCGCTTTCGGCTCGGGAGGCGGTTAACACGAGAGAACGATGTATTTTTGTTTTTTGTGGCGTAATATACTATTTTTCCTATTCATTTTTTAATGTATTAATTTTTAGTCAGTGCTGTAATATTAAATAAATCTTAAAAATGTTACTCTTATATCTGCGTAGCTGTTAGTCAGTCATATTATTGTGCTTGCAACTGTGCATTTGACTACAAATACTGCGTTTTAAATGCACAAATGAAAGTTTATTACAGACAATTATTTAGTAAAAACTGAGTTGGTGCCAATCGCGCTCTCTCAGTCCTACTGGCAAGTTTTTGAATTAGTTCTAGTAGCGCTAGGGGAGAGAGCACCTTGTGGGAGCTCTGGCCTTACGCAACGACTTATGATGGAAGATCACGAAGTGTTCTGCTCAGTCGCTTGAAATGCAGTATTAGAAAAATTTCATCACATTCGTTAATGTGGCATTTATCTTTAGAGAAGTCAGAGGTAACAACAATTATAAAGTCATTATTTTAGTAATAGTCGAGGCTTAGTCACGCTTGTTGGCACGCACAGTTAGTGTATTATTAGTGAATTCATAAGATTATACTTATTTTAAGTTTGTGAAAATCAATATCAATTGATTAATTTCATAGTGTTACGCAATGTGTATTCTCAATTAGAAGTTAATGATAATGTTTTTATGACGAAATAGTTTTATAATTAGAATAAAATAGAAATTTATACGATTAAAGCAACATTTTGGCTACGTCAATAAACTCTCGTGTTCATTCATATACATACATCGTGGATCGTGGGTGATAATTAATTTAAAAAACAGTTATGATTCCAAATGAAATTTTATAAACAAAAACTACCAAGAAATCTTACTGTAAGAAATTTTGGACCACACACGTGCTAAAAGTAATCCTCTACTTAAAAAGTTAGTACCTTGGCTGTTATTAAAGGAATTATATTCTTGTAGTGATTAGCAAGTTATCGTGCCTACATTAGTTGTGACGTGGTACATTGACAATATATTCGAACACGTCACAGTACCCTGGTTGTTAACGATCTCCATTGAGGATTTTTTAGATAATTATTTGTTTCATGTGACTTTTTGTTTGATGCGATGCTTGGAGATTACTCTATGCGAAATGGCTACGGGGCTTAGCTTGATTTCCCTCCATTGGTCCCTACCTACAAACTATGTTGAAATGAGCGCGCGGTGGCTCAGTCGGCTAGGTCGTGGATTGGCACGCGGAAGACCGTGGTTCGATTCCTGGCCAAGTGCGACTTTCGGGCAAGTACCTCTGTGATTTTTTACAAGTGCTTTTTCACCACGCAATGCTCCTCGAGGAGGGCTTAGGCGACCTCCTCGCAGCATAATTTCCTAATTTCCCCTACCCCCCTCCTAAAACTGGGGAGGCCTCCCATCCCCCTCTTCCCTTCCTTCTCCAAAGTACTAAGTGCCCATATAGTAGTGCCCTTATTAAAGGAGCCGGACGTAGAGCACTATAATAAAAAAAAAAAAAAAAAACTATGTTGAAATTGAATGCATTAGATGTTGGTCGTGTGCTTGGACAGCTACTGATACAAGTATAAAGACATATTGGGCGTGAGAGCACTGCGAAAGAAGCCAGCACAGTGATAGTACTAAGTACTAAGTGGGCCTATTCATGTGTAGTGTGCCTGTGTGCTAAGACAAGGACAAGAACTTTAGCTTGGTCTAGATCAGACATTTGCTCAGCACGGCGATGCATTAAGAGACCCTAGACCCGAGCGCTGCAGTGCGAACGTTTAGACATTTCTGCACATCTAACCATAAAGTGAAAAAATTAATAATAAATAAATGCCTTCTATACACGATAGCCGTAATGTCCGGAAAACGTATCAATAAGTATTAGTAAGATTCTTAGTTAGTTCAAACAAACAAAAATTTTTTTGTTTTATTTAAAGTAATATATGTTATATCATTCCATACATATTTACCATCACAAATAAAATTTAAAAGAGGTGCTGGACAACACTTAACTGCTTAGCAATGGATTTTTAGTAAAATTATTAATTCATAAGATAAAAATTTAGTTTACTACTGTATATAGTGCAAAAGTAGAAGCAGCAAAATGCAAGTGATATTTTCTATCAGTAATATCAGGCAATCTTAAAATGCATCAGCTAAAAACATAGGTACTGTAGCTTAAAGTGCTTTATTGTTGTATGTGATTTACTATAACAAATAATCAAATTTATTTACACGTTTTATGAGTTTTTAACTTCTAATAAGTCACTATTTGTTGTTATGGTCCAAATTAAATTGTAAGTAAAATGACAAAATTAGTCCTCAAGAGCAGGACTATTACAGTGAATACACTGTAAAAATTCATATCTGTCCAATATTTCGGCAATATTTTATTGCCATTCTTTAAGACATCTCACTGTATAAATAATAGTAATACTGATGGTAAATTTAGATCTAAGAACTTAAAAGAGAGGCCATAGAGACCCTTTTAAACGATTGATATTACCCTTCAAATCTAGAATCAGCCACATGAACAAACTTCTTTTTGGAAAGAATCTTCCTTTTTGCATCTTTTTGTCTCCTCATGCAATCGACTCCAAAATTTAGTTGAAAATTAGATAAATTTTCGCCACAGAAATCAATTAAGAATTCGTGAGTTCAAAGTCAGAACAAGCGTAAATTTTTTAAGTATCTGTGCACATATGAAAAACGTGCATAATAACGATAAAAGGTCTGTGATAGCTACTTACTGCCATTCTGAGTGTCATTTTCTTTTTGATAGTGTAGAGATTCTCGATCGTGAGAAAATAGATTTCAGAGAGAGTTTGTCAAAAAGAAATTTATTTTCCTCTACAATAATAATGTAATAGAAAATTAGATATCAGCAAGGTTTATAATGAATACAAAATTTTTCACTTAATCACGATAAGGTATATTGGGACCGAGAATTACACGTAGTGCCCTAGTCCGAGGCAAAAGTTTGAAGCAAGGGGGACGCTACTTTCATTAATTCAACGTAGTTCATTCATATCTTTAAATATCTTGAAAGTCAAGCATTTTATGGCAAGACATAAAACGTAAAAGAGATGAAAAATTGAATTATGAGCAAGTGCCTATGTATCTTATGTAAATCAAAGCAGGCGTCTTTATATTAGAGCCATTATGTATAAAGAGCCTGCAGGAGTTTGATGTATATGTAGTATACAGTACATCTAAACAGTGCGTTTGCTCTGTGTTTTGATCTCAGTGTTGCTGTGTAGCTCAGTGTCAAGCAGACGCAACGATCAGTTCTTGTTTGAATTTCTGCACTGATTTACACGGGATATCTTCTAATAATTTTTACGACATATTTAACGCTTTATGTATCATCATAAAATATTGACTTTTTTAGATATTAAATGATATCCTCAAACATCGTGCATTTAATGCCACTGGCGTCTCCCGTGATTCACTCAATCAAAATATGGACGCTGGCGTGTATCGTTTTATCCCTTCCAAGTTTATTATCAGAGCTAATATGCTTGCATATTCCGTAACTATCAGACGGTTAAGTAACTTTCAGTAAGTTCATTAACGTTCCTGTTTTATTGGCTTGCACTTACAGTTGTAAGTGAAGCTTTATGTGCGCACATGTGGCTTTCTGCTTGTTGAACTCCATTACTGTTGTTGACTTGCACCAAGAAATGTAAGTAAGGCCTCATGTTTGCATTTGTAGCGTTGTCAATGAGTTTGCATGGTACTTTACTTCTTGGATGCGTGCTGTTGACTCGCTCTATAACATTATGTCTTTTTATTCGGTTTTGTCACAATTTTGTAAGTTATGCCGTCGAAAGATTATCTCCAAAATTTTTCTTTGACAAGATAAATAGAGCACACCGAGGTTGCCTTATGTCTTTATAGCGGATGGGGTACATTTAAAAATCCTGTGTACATGTTTGTATATAGTTAGACATTTCCATTATTGTTGTATTTCTTTTTTTCAATTTATTTTCTTATATTTATTGATGTTGTTATTAAAAAATTTTCGTGAAATTAATGCGATACTGCCGAACTATTGGACAGATAAAAATATTTAAAATAAATAGTCCTGCTCTTAAACACCATTTTTGTCTTTTTACTCACAGCTTGTTTGCAAGTTTCACCTGGCTATTAAATTTCAACTAATTTTAAAAAAGTACGTTTTGATGGTATCAAGAAATATTACATAACTTCTTTAATATTAGTTGTTAAAACTATTTTTTTTTTCTCTTTGTTAGTGACTGTCAGTTAATAAAATAAATATTTGTAAATAACTGATAGCATTCCACAAAAATCTCTCTGAAAAACCTTACTGAAAGGGTCTGCTGTGTGTTTAAGGCCTATTGCGAAAGATAATGAGAAACAGTTGGGTCTTTCAGAGCTTGCTGACGTTCTCCTGAACTTATCGATGTTTGTTCTGAAGGCTTATGAGTTGTCGAAAGATGCTATGGAGACT